TCATGAATGAACTACTGGTAAACTATCATAGTATTATTATTTAAAAGAAAACCTACATTCCAATAAGAACGCTTAGTAACATAACCCATTTAAGTTATCTGATAAAAGTAATTTTCATTCCTACTTCCTTATACCTTGAATTTCACCTCTTAGTTATTGCCCACTGCTACTTCCCTAGACCTCAAAGCATTTAATGCATTCTGGAACTGCAATTTGTGTCGTCTTCTACAGCATGCAAGTTATCACCGTTCAGTTTGTACTACCACGTGAGCAATGATCTTCAGAATTACCGTATTGCGTTGCATATTCCACCCCACTCCAGCTTTAGAAACCAGATTCTGAAAATTTAAAAAAAAATATTTGCATAATTTTCCCCCTTTTTAATGTATTCAGAAAATGAATATCCCAAGATTTTAAAATGGATTTATCAACATAATGAATTGTTTTCGTCATACTAACAAAGGCAAAACTTTTTGCACACTTAAAGGCCCCGTTGAATCTTTCTCTTCTAACTGTTGAATATTATGTTATCCTAATACAAACAATGATCTATGATAGTGAAAGCAAATACCAACTGCCATTCACTGTGCAATTTTGCCATATCAGCTGAATGTTCACCCTAGCAAGCATCGGACCACAACCTTCTCTAATTATTTATGTATGATCTGAGGCCTAAGGATTTGCAAGAACAACAATGAGAATGACAGAAGTTCAAATTATAAAGAAGAAATGAGATAACTTATTAGACGTTGCAATTATGTGTATTCTTATTGAAATAGAGGTTTCTTTTAAATAAATAATATTGTGATAGTAGTAGTTTATCCATGATTACTTGTTACATTTGTTATATTCCTACTGTGACTGTATCCTTTGGAAATTAAATTATTCGTTTAATTTTTCCCTCTTAATTTTCGGAAGATAAAATTAGTAAAAATAAGTGGGAATATGGCATCAAGAGCATTAGATATCCCCATTTTCCTTGAAGCTGTTCACGATTATTGTTTCATCAATGATAGGCCATGCACTCTAAAATCCACTAGCAAATCAGTTAGTGAAGATGAAAACGACCACTATGCGGACGAAAACAGTTTAGGGTAACTTGTTTTGTGAGCGCCTTAAGGAAAAGACAAACATTACCTAAAATCATTTAAAACATATTTCAGAATCTTGTGCTAAAAAAAGAAAGCTAGGGGGGGGAAAATGTTGTTTGAGTCCCAGTGATTCATTTGGACCAATATGTAATATTGTTTTAGAAATTTAAGGTAATAAATATAAATTCGAATTTCGAATGCTAGAACAGTACGAGAAATTTATTCAAGTTAGGAATTCTGAATATAAGTAAACTGTACATTATATTTAATAACTATGGTGGCTTCATTTATGAAAATATTTGAATATTGGCTGTTTTTGTACAATGAACCTTCTCTAAGCTAATACGTAATTCCTGAAAATTTTGATCTTTAAATGATAGTGGGCATCCTAGAGAAGTTATGTTTACTAATTAGTTATTTTTTGAGGAATGGTGGTTAAATTTAAAAAGTGATTGACTGAGGTAGCTTGTCGTAATGAGAAGGTTCACTGTAATCCAATTTTTTAAAGAATTTAAGCTGTTCTTAATTAATTAAGATATTATAAAGAAATATGATTAAAAGTGTTATATAAGCACATGTTTAAAAAATCTATTAAAATAATTTTATAAGCTTTTTAAGAGCATGATTATGATTTTAAAAGAAATGTTTTTTTCTTTATTTAGGAGACATGGTTTACAAAGAGGGGAAAAACCATTCATTTTTTCCAAGCAGTCGAAACGAATTTTTATGAAATGTTTATTAAATTATATTATGTTATTTTTTTAATTAATTCTTTTTTTTAGGTTTTATGTAAAGTTTATGAATTAAGTAATAAATTATTTTTACTTCTGTATTTTAATTAGCATATTATTGCTTCATAGTGTTACACAATAAAATTATAAATTCAAATAAACTTTCTTAATTAACATGCTGTAATATAGAGAGAGCATAAAGTTGTTTTCTGTTGTCACATGTTATTTCACAATTTGTATATGCGAATCTCGAAATTTATAATAACTAGGAATACGTTTTTAGTATCACTTTCGAAATGGTAAATATTAAGCTTAGATTTATTACATATTATGTTTGTAAAAAATTATAGGTAAAATTAAAATGCATTAAATTTTAAGCTAAACTGAAGTATTAATTTAGAAATAAATTTCTTAAAGGCATAATTGTATTAAAATTTTAAGGGAAACAAGGCTTTAAAAAATTAAGGTCAGTTGGCAAAGTTTTATGCTTATTCAAAAAGCATGACATTAGGTTTTTAATGAAAGACTTCTATCTGTTAATTCAAAGGAATTTTGAAGGTAAGTAAAAACGTTATGCATTATTTCAAACAATAGCAGACTGTTGACAAACACTGAGTGCAGATAAGAATAAAAAGATTAGTTAGACGTTGTAATTCAAGCGTATGAACAAAATTTGAATTCCTTGTAGTAACAAAATGAAGTTCATTGCTATGTTGAATTCTTTAATTTATTGAAAATGTCATTTTTTAGAAGGAGAGAATATATTTTTGAAATATGAAGAACAGCTGTTCTGAGTTCTTCATAGAAATATTTCACAAAATGTCTTTTACTGTAATAATATGATCATATCAACATGCAACACGTTTACTCATATAAGTTAAATCTAAACAACATAGTCTATTTTAGCTAAAATTACTAAAAAGAAAGTTCTAGAACATATTTTATTAACTGACATTAAAACATGCAAATAAAACATACTATTTTTTTTTCAGCTATTTTACAGGGCAATATAAGGAGTAGCATATCAATTTGAACTTTTAAATTAATCAAATGATAATATGAAAGACCTTTCAATAATATCAGACATAAGTTTCTCTTCATAAAACAAAATACTCTGCAACAGACTAATGTTACTTTTTGAAAAAAGAAACATTGCTGTTGAAAGCATAAATTAATGCTAATCTGAGGTCAAATTGACTAATTTAAAAAGCCAAACTATTATGCTTCACTTGCATATTGTATAATGATATACACATGCAGATATGTTTACTCAAAACATCTTGATTTCAATATTTTTATTATTAATAAGCATCATTTTAGACCAAAAAATCTATTACTTTTATAGACATATCCTTTAGTATAATCTATGAAAAAATATTTACACACATAATTACTTAATGGGATATTAGAAGGAAATAATCTGAAACCTTTAAAGATACAAACCATTGGAATTTTACGTAAGAAAAGTATCTCTACTCACATAATAACTTGCTATAATTAATAATAGCAAATAACGTGTAACGGTTACAGATATATCTGTTGAGATTTTACATGAGAAAAACATGTTCTTTTACATAATTATTTGCGTAATATTACACGCAAATAATCTGTAACCATTACAGATATATCGTTTGGGAATTTACATGAGAAAAATATGTTCTACTTACATAACTATATGCTGTGATATTACAAGAAAAAGATCTGTAACCATTACAGGCAAAAACTCTTGTAATGTTACAAAGAAAACACCTGTTTCTGTTACTCAAATAACCCATGGCATCCCAGTTTCCATGAGTTTTCTTAGTAACCTTACAGATTTTTTTTACAGTGATAAAAACAGATATCAAACTTAAGCTCAGATAGCAGAAATGAGTAGACGTACAGATACCAGTCCCCAAAGATGAAGATACAAACTGAATTCAAGAAATCGTTCTCAAAATAACAGTGACCCAAATAATTGTTATTTTCACCAATAATTTGGTTTGGTTTTCACCAATGGTTTAAGTGCACACCACCATGTAAATATCTGGATGCATAACAGGAAAAGTAAATCCACGGCTTTCATTGACGATCGAAAGTGAAGGGGTCCAGCTGAGTGGTCTGTATATTTGTGAAAACGCATCTGCACTTCATCTTTTAGTTGATACTGGAGTGGAAATATCGATTATCCCACCATGGCCATCGGAAACGAGAACTATGTCTAAGCTCCAGCTATTTGTAGGTAACGGTCCAACAATCAAAAAGTATGGCAAAAAATTGTTAGAATTGGTTTTACAGCTATGCAGATCTTTCAGATAGCCTTTTATAATTGCATATCTCAATAAACCTATCGTCGGATAATACTTTCTTTCACATTTTTAACTTATCAGTCGACAGTAAAAATAGGAAATTAATCTACGGTATCACCTCATTGTCGAATATAGGTATTCTATGTAACAACGGTGTCATTCCTAAATTTATTGTTAACACTTTCCAGAACCAATATAGAACCATTTTCAATAAATCCCCTAGCATACTTAAACCCGATATTAAAAATTATAAAATTAAAGAGTATAATGTGCATCGTTTCGTCGACACAGAAGGAAACCTCATATTCTCTAAAGTCAGAAGAAGTTCTCAAGAAAAGTTGCTTACTCCGAAAAAGTAATTCGATTATATGCTTCTGGAAATTTTCTGCAGACCATCTAAAAGCAGCTGGTCGAATCCATTACATCTCACTTTAAAAGAATCCAGTGACCGTAGATCGTGCGATGAATACCATGCATTTGATGCAAACACGTTAACAGGTCGTTAGCCACTACCATTTCTAACGGACTGTAGATAAATAAATTCATAAATACTTGGCTGTTTACTAAGAAGTGAAGTTGCAATAAAAAATGAATTTATTTATTTATTTATTCTTTATCACTTAGAACGTTTTTGGCATGTAAAAAAATCTCTTTCGACCAGCCTGTATTGTTAGTTCCTAAATAAAAGCACATACTTGTCTAATCTATTGGAATACTTAAGTTTTTAAATTTTAAATTTCTAAGTTCTAGTATTTTACTAAATTATACTCTTTTGTTTGCTCTTAAATTGCGTAAATATAAATAAATAGACTATTAATACGTCTTCATTACAAATATTATTATCTTATAAATATTTAATGCCTGTTAAGTTCATTTTCCTTCATTGTCAGGTATACTTCCATGGGAATGACTTGAGTAGTTTGCATCAGTTCCTTCCTAAAGAAATGCTACCTGAAGAATTTGGTGGAACGCAAGGTCCATTTGGAAATGCAAGATTTTATCAAAGTTTACTAGACAATGAGGAAGAATATAAAAAATGTCAACAGTACGGATATGGCGTCGTCAGAATGTAAATAAATATATGATTGTCAAAGTATATGTATACATGTGTATGTATTACATTTTTACATGTAAATGAATTACATTTTTACAGTCTTTCGTATAACTTTAAGGATCACCTTTTTCTTCCTCCTGCCCAACCCATCAAAAAACAAAAATTAGGTCAGTTTTATCAAGAACCTTTTGAATCTGAAATTTCAGAATATTGTGGAATGCGAGTTCTTCATTCTCGAGAAAAACTCCCTTCAAATACTCCTTAACTGTATGTCAGAATATTACTCAATATAAAAATGCTTATAATGTTTTATTTATATATTTCTGAGAAAGACTGAAAAAATTCAATATGTTTAAGATATCTGTTAGATTAAAAAGTATCATTTTATAGGTATAAAAAGTATACTTTTATATAAAAAAGTAGACTTCAGTACCAGGCTTTACTTTCAGGATTCTACAAAGTCAAACCTAATTTAGAAAACAGGAAGTTATATTTTAAAAGAACGAAAAGGACATTTAAAAGGTCAGAAGAAAGCTGAATTATCCATGACATTCTTACTTTTTATTAAAATAATATTTTAATTGTATATTAATTCTGCTTGCTTCTGACAACATTTAATTGATGTCACTGGGGGCATTTCTTTTTGAAGAAAATTATAAAAGAGAAAAAAGAAACATATGGTAAAGTGAAGTTTATTGGCAGATTGCAAAGTAATTACGACGCTGCTGTTCACAACAAATTCGCGTACAACTTACATTGCAGGATAATGAAATATTCTTATAATGCCCCAGCTACGAAAAGGTTATGCATGGACAAAGTCAACAAAGTTAGATAGTCAGTGCAAATACTCAAGTTCAAGTTCAACTCAAGTTCAAGAGTTCAATTCTGAACTTGAAATTTAATATAAATCTCTTAGCGATGGAAAATCTGTATTAAAAATTATAAAACCAAGTTACATATATGAGTTTCTATCATCGGGTTTATTTTTTAAATATGGCACGGCTGTAAACTTCAATGAAAACTTTAGTAATGTGATATGAACTGTTTCATCAATGGAAACGTTTTTGATTGCATTTCTAACAATTTTGTTATATGCATATAACTACAACGTTAACCCTTTAGTTCCTGTTATTTTGAGGTAATAGTTATGTATATTTGACACTCGCGAATATCAGCTAAGTAATTCGTATATTATTCAATTAGATTCATGGCGATTAGTTAACTTGGAACCGACAATGAATGAATAAATTGAAGCACCATTCGTCATTCATTCTGAAAATAACAGAAAATAAAGAAAGATTGGCATTTAAATGTGGATAGTTTTGAGTATGAGCACTGCGCAAAAATAAAGTTTTAAAGCAAATTCTTGAAATGCATTTATTCCAAAATTAATTTTTCAATCAATTTTGCACTAACTACTCAATCCAGTTTAGATATTTCATTAAAATTTAACAACAACATCATTATGCGTTACTGACTGTACTTTAAAAGAGAAGTTAAGGTTTATGTAATTGAGTTAAATATTTTACAAGTGTTTCTGTATAAAATAAAAAGAACATTTTAATTCAATCTACTTTTCCATATTATTTAACTTATTTTGGTAAATTTTGAAAATACCATACAATAATTTATTACTTAGATAAATATTCTAATAATATATAGTTTCAAGGAAATAAAAATACATAAATCTGAACTGAGAGTAGAGTGTTAGAATAAACTTTAAAGTTTTTAAAAATTATAGACCCTCTCTCTTTTTGGAATATAAAGTAGAGAACTCTACAAAGACGTAAGCGACTTATCGCTATGTCTTGGAAATTACAACAGAGACGTGGGAAGGATGCAAAGGACCCTTTTAACTCAGATAAAAGGTAGCAAAAGGCACTGCGCGTTCTTACAGAACCAGCCAGCATTTATGGTGTAAATCAAAAACGTAATTAATTGAAATTAAAAGAAGTTAATCGTAAGCTAGCCGAAAAGGCTACACAGACAAAATGTTCACAAAGTGGCTCACAAACCTAAAGTCGGCGTGACAAGCCTAAAGGCAAGAATAACACAACGCCGCAGATAAACAGCTCTCGCGACAATCAACTAGCAACGGTGCCTTCATCGAGTGGAAAATTCTGCTATCTAAAACCTTCCTTTCAATACTATCCCTATGCTATCTCATTTGAATATATGCGAAATAGAAATAAGCATTCTGGTAGAAAAATGGAAAGCGCGAAAAACAGAAAAGCTAATTAACGTAAAATAACCGGTTAATAAAAATTAATTCATACTTTACAAAACAGTTGCAAAATACTGTCCCTTTTTTTAAATGTTTCCAAAAATAATAGTTATTTTCGTAAATTTTTTTATTTTACATTTTAGTTTAAAAAATTTATATTGTTAGTCAACAGTCTGTATTCGGCAAAATACTTCGATGATAGGCAAACTCCTTTAACTACTACGAATTCAACGTTTTAAAAACAACTTTTATTATGATTTTGCATATATATTATATGTATTAAAACATATATCATTCAATGTTCTTACTCTTTATTTTTACAGCACCAGAACAAAGAATTTCGTAAGCATTAATATAATTATTCACTAAGAAAACCTTAAATGCATGGTTGCGATAATAATTTTGCATCATTGTGTTTGCTTTTCGTTTTACGTGATTTGTCAGTTCCTTGAACTTACTTCTGAATTTTAACCCCATTTCAGAACCCTGATGTTATTCTTCATTCATATCTCACGACAGATTTGGCAAACAAGCAATGCCTCATTTTTATTGTTCTTTTACCTACAGATATTCCATCTTTAACAGCCATCTTATTTTTTAACCATCTTTCCATCTTTAACAGCCATTTTATTTTCTTTAACAGCCATCTTATTTTTTTTAACAGCCATGTCACATTTGTTTTTAAATGCGTTTGAAACCAGACCGTTATCAACAAAACCACTGAGTTACAAAGCATCAAAGTATCAATTATTTTTACAAAAAACCTTAAATTTTCAAACAATAACAGGATGAATATTGATGCATTTCCTTTGTGTCAGAAGATAGCGGTATATTTCTTGGTGAAATTAAATCCGAAAAAAAAAAAAAAAAACATGTAAAGTGCTTAAAAGAGAACTGCTTCAAAATTACAGCCTAATTATAGATACACATTTAACACAACATTTTTTCCCATAAGAAGCCGTAAATTAAATTTTCGATTAGACCTTCATGATAAAATAAAGATATATACACTGAAAAGCCAAAACATTATGAACATCAACTCAATAATGCGTTGCGCGAGATACCACTAGTTTTTGGTAAATGACTGGGGACAGGTTGCACCAAATGCCTAAGCGGTGGTGGCTATGTGTAATTCCTCTGACATGGTGGTGTTTAAGCTCTGAGATGCCGCTCCATGACATCCCAAATGTGCTCTATCGAGAGCGAGCTTAGTGGCCTGGACATTAATTTGAATTCATCCTTAGGCTCCTTGGACCACTCCAACACAATTCGAGGCCATGTGACATGGGCCGTTGGCCTGCTGGAAGATTCCATTTCAAGTTGGAAAGACAGACGCCATATAGGGGTGCGACTGATCCATATTCATGTTCAGATAGTTCGAGCTTTAATGGTTCAAAACGTCCTCCAAAGCATAATGCCGGCACCACCAGCTTGTGTATAACCTTCTGTACGGGTGGGAAGAAACCGTTCATCTGAAAGACGACGTACCCTGACACGAGTATCGATGTGGTGAACGAGAAATCGTGATTCATCCCACGAGGCAACTGTTCTTCCACTTATCCGTGGCCTAATCTCCTGTGCTTAGCGAAAAGAAAAGAAAGAAGTCTAAAAGATGGTTCCGACTGTAGTTCCCACTGTAGGCGTAGTTAACAATGGCGCTTGGTCAACAGAAACACACGAGCGGGACGTCTGCTGCGCAGTCCCTTATCCAACAGTGTCCGCTGAACTGTGTGTTCCGAAACACTTGCACTTAGACCTCCACTGTATTGGTCTGTCAGTTGAGTCACTGTCTGGCGTCGATTTTGCTGAAAGAAGCGGGCCAGTCTCTGAGGTCCTTTTCCTTTGATGGCGCATGGTCGTCCCAACACCTTGACGTCTATTGCTGGTTTCATTTTCATTTATCCCCTTTGCATAAATACTAACAACAGCAGATCGTGAACAACATACCATTCATAAAGTTTCGGAGATATTCGTTCCCAATCTTTGGGCCATGATAATCTGCCCTTTATAAAATTCGCTTAGATCCGTAGCTTTTCTCATAACTCGCGAAAGTAAGTGCAAGAATGATTCCTTATCTTCTCAAGCAACAGTTAAATACCATTCCCACTTAATCACAAGTCCTCCACGTCATCTAGACGAGTTTATTGAAAAGTTTGGGAACGTTCATTATGTTTTGGCTTGTCAGTGTATGATTAATGCTAAGAAATATTAATGCAAAGAATGTTTCTGAGTTGAGACTTTACTTTGTATAATGAAACTTTCATAATTATAAAACATTATAAACTGCATGAATGAAATTCGATAACAATGAAATTTGCAATGTAATACGTTTCTTCTGTAATTCCACAAAATAAAAGGAAAAAACTAATACAAAGAAACGAATAACACCAAACATACATTTAAACTGAAAGACAAAAAGAACTGAAATTATATAGTGACCAATTTATGATAATAAAAAAGCGAATAAACAAAATTGTTTCTTTGTTGAAAACAAGTTACATAAAAAGCATGTAATTTTAAAAAACTACGTGCTTAATTTTTTCTATCTTTTCATGATTCTGTTTTTTGGGTATAAAGCTAAAAATATTACTATTTGCAAAATATCCTTTAGATTGTAATACTGATATTTCTTTTAACTGTTAGAATGCCTTTGATTACTTGAACTTAACACCTTTTATTACGTTTTTCCATTATTTTTCATTTTTCATTTTTTAAATATCAAATGACTTTCTGTCGGGGGGGGGTTCTTACAGTTTATGCTTACTGTACATATATTAAAGTGTAAAAATTTGTAAAAATTATAGACCCTTCCTTGATAACATAAAGTAGAGAACTCTACAGAGATGTAAGCGACTTATCGCTGTGTCTTGGAAATTAGGG